TGCTTAAAAAAAAAAGTTTCCTTCAAAAATGTTTTTCTGAAAATATTTTTTCCCCTTGAAATTAGATCTTTACACTGTATTTGAGTTGGAGACTTGCACTGACTGGCCTTGTGGGGGCTTTACAATGGATTGAAGGAAAATTTTAAAATCAAAGATAATGTATGTAAATATATACTCAGATACATATTTACTTGCCTCATGGGGACACAAAGTATTTTTTTTTTTACATTTAAACCCTTTTGTGTATTTTTTAATAATTATAAAATGTTTACATTATTGTTCATATTATTGTGCTGAGTCTTTGTTTGCAGTTTGCACATTTGATGGCACTACCACTGGAAGATGCCAGTGTCAGAAAGGTTTAAACTCTACATAAAGGGGATTTAAAACACACATACTTGTACTTCTATCTTTGTAAGGACACTCACTGACATAATGCATTCCCTAACCCCTAACCCTAACCTTAACATCACAACTAAATGCCTAACCACAACCCTTACTCTAAGCCTAACCTAAACCTAATTCTAACCTGAACCCTAAAACCAAGTCTTAACCCTAAAAAAGGCAAAAATGTGATTCCCAAAGTGAGGACCAACCAAAATGTCCTCACTTTGTTACAAAGAAATACTTTTTGGTCCTCACTATGAAGCAAGTATATGAACAAAACAACCAGGTGTAGATCAAAAGTAAATTAAACCTCTGGAAAAAAAATCTGCAAAGATTTTTCAAAAAAATCAAAGCATCCTGAAAGTAAAGCTACAACACCAATATAATTTTGTGGGACATGGGAACATGGCAATAACATAACACAAGAAAACTGTAATTACAAGCCACATATTTTACATTTAACCTTCATTTATAGGCTAGGCTTGCTGAGCACCACAGCTCTCTACCTGAATCCCAAATCAAGCTCCACACACCTGGGAGTTTCCCACTGCCCAGACACTGCCTCAGTCTCAGTTACTGAACAAGATTAAGCTCTTGCTCAAGGGCACCTCAAAGATTGATAATGAGTGAGGGGCAACTTGTGTTCATTCGCTTCCCCAGATTCTTGCTTCTCTAACCTTTGGGCCACCGTCAGTCTCTGCTCATTAAGCTGCATCTTAGGAGCTCATGCTGAGTCAAGTAGATACACTTTAAGCTGTGTTTATGCAGGGTAGTAAATTACAATGCATGCAGAAACTTTGTGTCTGTTGCACTGTTGAGACTGAGTCCAAATCTCAAGGCTGCTGTCTTGCCACAGCAGCTCCAATTTCTTCTATAGCAAAACAGTTGGGTTAAAGGCTTATACTGATGTTTAGTGGCTCAAAGTGACTGCTATGACAGACAGTTTCTTTCTGTTTCACCTGCATTAATGTAAAACATATGCCTGCAGTTCTTACAGTGACTCACACCTGTTAGAAGTAAACCAGGATTCATTAGACCTTTAGATGTAATATGTGCCCCACTCAGTCTTAAATTGCTGCCTCCCCCCTCGAAAAAAGGAACATACTTGACATGTAGCGGTGGCATTTGTGTCCAGTGGCTGTTAATAAGAGCTTAAAGTCACATTTAAGGAGATAAGAAGAAATTTCCTGCTACATTATTACAGCCATCAGTGTCAAGAGCTCCAGTTGCAACTGCTTTTAATTTATTTATTCTCTGAGACGCACTGACAGCATGAACCTAGAGTCATCCAAAAGCGCAGTAAAGGCCATTGAATTAATAAAGGGTTATGAGCGTTCACTAGAGTTGTGTGAGTAGAAGGCTGTGTTTATTTTAGCTGGCTCCTCAGCTGGTTCACTGCTGCTCTGGCAGAACCAGTGAAGTCTGCATGGTTGCAGTGCATTTCACAGTACATATGTTTTTATGCTGGACTTGTTTGTTATTGTGAGACATTTTATACAACAAGAGAAAGATTTTGCATTTGCAAGAAGAATGAAACGATGAATTATAGAACACTTTCACTATACAGGGACTGTGATAAGATCTCTATTTTATTTTACTGTTTTTTTACTCCTTCTTTATGATGATTATGTTTAGAAGATAAATTATCATGAGATGAGAAATAATGGTATATCAACACCAACGTCTTTATAAAGATATGAATGTAAATTCTACAAGCATCACAGTTCCAGTATATTTGGGTCATATATTCATTTATTTATGAGTTTTAATTATGGCGGGAATAATATATCTACAAGACATTTGCTGTGTATGTTTTAGTTGAGTATCAAACCCATTCACTGCTGGACAGAGACATTGAGTTGAGCTGATATTTGAATTTTCCTCAGTTACTATGTAAGAAAATTATATAGCTCCCTGTTAATGTTATGCTTTATGCTTGTGTGTGTGTGTGTGTGTGTGTGTGTCTTAGCAAAAATGTATTTGTGCCAGGGTCAGGGTGCTTGGAACCAATTAATATTTGCTTGCAACTCCAGTTTTAGATTGATTTTAAAGTAGGAGGTTTTATAATAATCAAACCACCAACTCCATGTCATTATAAGCCTGTTTGTTCCCACTTAATAATCCTCATCAATAGTTACGTTTATTTTAAAATGATCCATTTTATACTGTATATACTGTAGTTAGTAAAAGTAATATTCACTGTAAACACATTTCTATTCTTTTACCAGACACTTCTTCAGCCATTAAAATCCCATACCGTCACAATAAAAACCCTACTGACACGCGAACAGACCTTAGAAGTCATCGAAGAGGTGTTCACTTTGCTGAGAACAGTCTCTGTGTCATCACCTCGACTTCTCCTGACTCTGTGTCCTCATACCCTCATGAGGATGGCTCATGAGTACTTGCATGTCAGACTGCCAAATGGCCTGCCCACAGTGCCAGAGAACTGCAAAAATCATTTTATGCTGTGGGAGAATAATGCAAACTTAATTACCATGAGCTAATAACTCCAGGCAATCAAACCAAAACCAGCTCAGTGTCTCCTTCTAATTTGGAGGATGGCTAAAAGCTTCTCCTTTTCATTTAGGGTGACGCTCAACAGACGTCCTGGTTCTACAGACTGAGCTGGTTTGAGCAGGGCGTTAAGGGTGGCTTCGGTGGCGGTGGCATATAGGTTTCATTTCCTAGTTTGTCTCTTCAGTGTGAATAATTACACTGAAATTTGAGCAGACCAGAGATAAAGTGTGTATGGCTAATCCAATCACTTCCAGTAGAGTGTAGAAATTATGGTTCTTAGATGACACTAAAACAAATACAGAGTGCAGAGACAGAAGAATGTTTGAAGGGAAGCAGCTCCCAGAAATCTTTCTGTTCTTGCAATTACTATGAAGTTAAACTTGGCTAAAACAATAGTGTCAAATAATTGCATATGTTCGAACTAAATATTTTGATCAAACAACTGGAGCACTTTATTGTTTTCTACTGAGGAAGGATGTGGGCAGATACTATCAAAAGGCCAGGATATTTACTGGACTCTTGTTGATTAGGAAGATCACATCTCAAAGGCTGCAAATCACTCCCTTTGTCTTGCTTTTCAAAGAGGAAGGGATTAAAGTAATTTCTAGACCCTTGGGCAAAATCTTACACAGGGTTCAGAGAATTAATCAGTTATGCCAAGACAAGGTGAAATCATTGTAAAAAGAGAAGAAAGAAAAAATGTGAAACTATTTTGTAAAAACTATCAAATTTAACAACAAAATGCTGTTGTTATAACATGATACTTAACTATTTTTTCTAAAGGTCGCAGCAACATACTGCCATAGGCAGTTCTTCTTATGAAATATAATCCTACTGGTGCCACTGCAAGAAGGTCAACTCCTCAGGACAAGTCTCAACTTCCACCTGCATTTGAATGACAAGAGACACACCTTTAAGGACAGAAATGTTCACATTTTGGCAACAGAAGACAGATGGTTTGAAACAAAAGTGATGGAAGGCATAAATGTAAACTGGAACAAACATCAATAAACACAGGAGGTGGTCCATGACACCACTTAACAACTTACAAAGCAGTAAATGTAAACTGGAACAAACATCAATAAACACAGGAGGTGGTCCATGACACCACTTAACAACTTACAAAGCAGTTCTCGCATCCTTCCTAAGGTAACTTAATACCCACTGACACCTTGACTCAGGTGATCCTAATAACCCACATGTGACCTGAACAACCCTCAAGGTTTCAACAGCTATAGAGTTGAAATTTCTGGGGATCTTTGTTGTACAGATAACATGGGTTAACTGTTCATCAGAGTGATGACCCGTGAGGTGTACAGGTCCTCCATGGAGGGCAGGCTCACACCAATGACCTTTTCTGCAGTCCTAACTGTCCTCTGAAGTCTGTACTTGTCCTGTTTGGTTGCTGAGCCAAACCAGACAGTGATGGAGTGATGGAGGTGCGACTTGATGATTCCTCTGTAGAACAGTATCAGGAGCTCCTGGAGCAGGTCAAACCTCCTGAGCGGGTGCAGGAAGTACATCCTCTGCTGTGCCTTCTTGGTGATGGTCCTGATGTTGGACGTCCACTTCAGGTCCTGGGAGATAGTGGAGCCCAGGAACTTGTAGGACTTTACTGCTGCCAAGTATGGTGAAGCGGGGTAAGGTGGGAGGGCTCTTCCTGAAGTCCACTGTCATCTCCACTGTTTTGAGCATGTTCAGCTCCAGGTTGTTGCGGCTACACCACAGGACCAGCTGCTCAATCTCCCATCTGTAGGCTGACACGTCATAGTCTCGGATGAGACCAATGACCGTATCATCATCAAACTTTAGGAGCTTGACAGAGGGGTCCTTCGAGATGCAGTTACTGGTGTAGAGTGAAAACAGCAGAGGGGATAGCACAAAAAAGGCCATGCACATTCTTTTCACAGATCATCACGGGCTAGTGTTGGGAGGTTGTATGGGGAGCAGCTGTTGGTGGTATGTCTGAGGTGAAGTGGGTGAGAGGTGTAAGGTTATCAAACCCATTCATGATGGTCTTCCACAGGCGGTGGGGGGTTCCTGTAGCCAGTGATGTTTTTCAGGCTTCTCCACACAGATGAGGGGTCGTTTCTCAGCCTTTCAGAGTAGTTACTCTTTGCTGCTCTGATCTCCCTTGTCAGTGTGTTCCTGGCTGCCTGTACAGGATCCTGTCCTCACTGTTGTAGGCCTCTTCTTCAGCATGATGAAGCTCCCTTGAATCTTACTGTGAACCAGGGCTTGTTGATACATGTGCAGAAGGTCTTGGTGGGCAAACACACATCCTCACAAAAGCAGATGTAAGATGTCCCAGTGTCAGTGAGGTCATCCAGGTCTGTAGACGCAGCCTCAGATACACTCTAATCTGTGCAGCCAAGGCTCTGTTGCTCTGACTTTGCCTGCTCAGTCCATCTCTTCACTGTTTTGACCACAAGTTTCATAGCTTTAAGTTTCTTCCTCTAGGTTGGGATGAGATGGACCATACAGTGATCAGAGAGTCTGAGGGCTGCACAGGGGACAGAGTGATTGGTGTCTTTTATTACAGTCTAGCAGTTTGCTTCTGCCTTGTTTGTGGGTGAGGGTTGTTCTGATAAAATCCCCCGAGACAATGAGGAGGGAGTCTGGATGTTTCCTTTCCATGCAAGTTATCTGATCTGCCAGATGTTGCAGTGCCTTGCTAACACAGGCCCGAGGTGGGATGTAAACACCAACCAGGACAAACAAGGAAAACTCCCACGGTCCATAAAATGCTTTGGTGATGAATAGTCTGTTTCACAAGTTTTCCATAACACTGTGACATCATCACCTCAGCCTTCATTTATGTAGAAGGACATTCTACCTCCTCTCGTTTTCAAGGATGACCTCTTTACACTCTGTGCAGCTGGACGCTTGGCAGCTATACTGCACTGTCCAGGATGGTCTCATTGAGCCAGGTCTCAGTGAAGCACAGAGCAGCAGAAATGTGAGAAGTCAACATTAGTCTGGTTAATGAGAAGCAATTCATCCATTTTGTTTTCTAGAGAGAGAGCACACCACCACAAATGCAGCCCTATGCATTATCCATTAAAGAACATTCATTAAAGGGTGCCCAGACCTCTGTGCTTGGAGTGTTGCTTACTAGGTTCCTCAGCTGTGTAACTCAATACCTGATGATCTTGTTGTGTTGATTTAGATTTTTGTCTTAAATCATTCTTCTTGGTTTTGTGCAACAGCATTTTTATAACCCATTTTCTTAGTCTCCAACATTTCCCAAAGCACCATCAGACTTTGTTTTTGGGAACTGAGTGAAACATCTCAACAGATATTGGATGTTGTGACGAAAAAATGCTGATAATCTTCTGTAACTTTGATTGTATTACCCATGTCTCAGTGTTGTTTAGAATGTCACTGGGAATGTATAGAGTCAAATGCCAGATACAGAACCCTGCAGGCTTCAGCTGTTTTACAGAATTCAGTTAAATTTAATTCTGTGTTATTTGTGCAGCACCAAATCACAAAAAAATCTTCTCAGGGCATTTTACATAATCAGGTCTAGACCTCGCAGTATTATACAGAAAAACCCAGCAAACCTCCCTGAGCAGCACTTGGCAACAGCAGGGAGGAAAAACTCCCTATAACAGATGAAACCTCCGACAGATGGGCAGCCTTCTGCCTTGACCGGTTGGGGTGAGCAGATAGAGAAGAGAGAGAAGAAAAGAAAAGCAACAAGACACAAGAAACACAACAACAAACAACCAAACACTGGGCAGGTGGATGTGGCCGGTGACTGCTCATTGGAAATTTAGAGCTCCAGAGCCAGGGCTACCTGGCAGAGGATGTACTTCCTGCGCCAGCTCAGGAAGTTCAGCCTGCCCCAGGAGCTGCTGATACAGTTCTACAGAGGAATCATCGAGTCCGTTCTCTGCACCTCCATCACTCTTAACCCACAGTGCAAATAAGAGTATTTGGATTTGTAAATTTACTTTGACAGTTAAACTACTAACTTTTGTCCTTCATTTAAATAGCCAGAAAAGCAGCATATATTCCTATTTACTGCTCATGAAGGGATTAAAAATGTGTTGCAACATAGAGCACATTACATGGAGACACATGGAAACAGTCAATAATATACAAATTCAAGCTTGGTTTAATTTTATTTCAAGAATGACAATAACACAAAATGAAAGCTTCATGAACTTCTCTCAGTGCTTGTTGACTCTTTGAATGATGTAGAACAAACCATTTTTTCTGCCCTTAGATATCCAGAAATCTCTGATCTGAGGAAGGTTCAGGCCATAGACCAGAGGGTTACTGATGGGAGAAATGATGATAAACTCCAGAGATAAAACAACAATGACAAATGGCTTTGCCTCATCAGTCTTGCATTGACTCAGTGAACCCTCACAGAATATTGAAATGCAAAAGTTCACAAAGGTCACTATGTGGGGCAGGCAGGTCTGTAAGGCCTTTCCTCTGAATTCAGATGAACTTCTCCTGCAGACAAGCAGAATGCGCAGGTAGGTGTACAGGACAAAGGACAGGGGGATGAAGATCATTATCACAGCAAGAAACTGGCCTGCTATGCTCATTACAACTGCGTCCACACAGGAGAGCTCAACTATAGACCAAGTGGTGCAAAAAATCCTCTGCAGCTTATCTCCACATAAAGGCAAACTGGTGGCAAGATAAAAAAGGAAGCTTATAACACAAACAGGGTACAGCGCAGCCAGAATCAAAAGCAGCAGCACCGTCCTAAATGTCATTTTACTGTGATAGTGTAAAGGCTGGCAAATAGCAACAAACCTGTCATAGGCCATGACAGTGAGAATATTCACTTCATGTGCTTTGTAAGTGTGAATAACATACATCTGAGTGAAACAGAGTGGACGTGAGATGAAATGAGTGTCAGACAGAAGGTCCATCAGGAACCTGGGGAAGAAGCCGGTTGAGCCGTACAGAGAGTTTAAACACAGAGAGCAGATGAAAACATACATGGGCTGATGCAGAGAGGTCTCCAGGCAGACTGACAGAACAATGACAAGATTAGCAGAGATTATAGTCACGTAGATCAACAGAGAGAGACTGAAGAAAAGATATCTGAGGGGCCCATAGTCTGCAAACACAGTGAACTGAAAATAGGAGGGAGTCAGGCTGTTGTTGCTCATCATATCTGCACAGCGGCACAGCTGCAACAGGACAAGTCACAGCAATGGAGAAATGGGAGATGGGAAGAAAATGGGATGAGACATAAAAATGTCCAAAATTTTAAATCCAACACATATTTCAACAAGACATATGATACGTGTCTGTATTCATGCAGGTAAATGTCAATATAATGTAGCTAATTAACATCAACATCTTTAGAGTCAACATCACTTTGTGATTTATGACTACAGTCCTGTGATCTGTCCAAAAATTTACAGCATCACTGAGTAAAGCGTCTGTCAGTTCATGGACCGTGAGACCTTAGAGAGATGTGCAGCCTCCTCCCTGATCTAATCCACACTGAGGCTGTGCTGAACTTTTATCATGTTTGGCTGTTACACAGAGCAGCCACGTGCACACACAGGTCCAAAGGAAACCAAAGCACCATATGTCCAGCCCTGACAGTCTCACTGCTCACTGACAGCTTGTTTACATCAAATCATATCTAAAGTTTAACCATTTGTTGCACAGAACTCTTATGTGAGAGCACCTAAGCTAGGTAAAGTCACGCCCCAGCTATTTTTCAGTTGTTGTCTGCACGGTGGCTACAGGAACCAGCCTCATCTGAGAAGCTTGTGTTTATGTGACAGCTGGAGCAAGAAATATAATATTATGCACCAGCATGGAAAACAAATAGATATGCACATTCCATTATTCCTTCTGTCCTACTGAAGCTAATGTAAACCAGTGTACAGGCTTTCCCACTGTAAGAGGGAAGTGCCTCCTTCCTGTTAGTAGCTGTGAATCTGTGTACCTGTTGTCACTGGCTTGATGTTATTGTTGCTGTCAGATGATTATGTTGATGTTAACATTATTCCTCTTGTTACTGCATAAATTAATTGCCCTTTGGGATTAATAAAATACTCTGAATCTGAATGTGGATAGAAAGCATCAGCTCAGCGCATCATGCCCCCCAGCAGCCTAGGCCTATAGCAGCATAACTAAGGGAAGGCTCAGGGTCACCTGATCCAGCCCTAACTATAAGCTTTATCAAAAAGGAACGTCTTAAGTCTAATCTTAAAGGTAGAGAGGGTGTCCGCCTCCTGAACTGAGACTGGGAGTTGGTTCCATAGGAGAGGAGCTTGCTAGCTAAAGGCTCTGCCTCCCATTCTGCTTCTGTGGACTCTAGGAACCACAAGTAAACCTGCACTCTGAGAGCGAAGTGCTCTGTTAGGATGATAAGGCTCTCCGAGGTCTTTAAGATACGATGGAGCCTTGTCATTAAGGGCTTTGTATGTTAGGAGAAGGATTTTAAATTCTATTATGTATTTTACAGGGAGCCAGTGGAGAGAAGCTAATATGGGAGAGATATGCTCTGCAACAAAGTAATTTAAAAAAACAGCTGAATGTTTTCACAGGCTTCATTTTTTATTTCAAGGTTCAAGGATTTTATTGTCAATTCACCATATGTGCAGGACATACAGAATGAGAGGGAAGAAGAAGAAGCAGCTTTCCAAACCTAAATACAAAAAATATGAAAAAAAAAAAAAAAAAAAAAAAATAGAGCAGAATAAAAATAGAATACAATAAGAACTGGATTAACATAATTAGGATAACTCTAAACGGTACAGCCAATAAGCTGTGACTCAAAACCGAGTACAGTCAGTGAGAGTAGTGCACTATTAGTACTATTTGTATTATTTTGAACCAAATTATGGAGTAGTATCAAGAATATTGCCAGGTATCAGCAATAAACAGTTATCAGTACTGATAAAATCCTAACAATACCCATCATTAACATGGAGTGAGAGAGGAGGGCTCTGAGGTAACAAGAGAAGCCCTGCTCCCTCTCAAGGCTACGAGTCTCCTCTTTACAAGCTAAAAGTTCAGAAGAAGGGATTCTATAGGTTAAGGAAATTTAATATTCATAAGTTTTAACATTTGTCAGCCAATAGGAAAAGGCGTCTTTGTCTCTTGTTTTTCTATATACATTTGTGATTCCTGATGTTCTGGGGAAGAAAACAGAGCAGTTTTTACCTCCTCTATTGCAATATGTTGTTCATCAAGCAGTGAGTCTTGTGTTTAGTTTTTTAAGTTTCAAAAATCTTATAGGCAGTTTCTCCAGGACAGGACAGGATGCATTGCAGGTGAGGCAGTCTGATAAAAACACTTCACTTTCATTCATAAGGCAATCCAGCACAGGTAATATGTTAATGAAATCCTGTCAGGGAGACTTGATTTTGTCAGATGGTATTTCTGAATGTCGCTTATAAGATTTATTGGTTTTAGTGATCCACACTTTGGTTTTGAGCAGCTTGATGGGTGATGACCTAAATGTAACACATATAACTCTTAGTGGGCATGTTGAAGTGCATAAGTACAGATATCTTTATTTTGTCATCATGTTAACAGCATATTTTCTAATAATCTGCTTTAATTGCACAATTGTGTGTCTCACAGTGATTCACAAAAACCTCCATGAGCCCATGTACATTTTCATTGGAGCTTTGTTGATTAACTCTGTTCTTTACAGCACTAATATCTACCCAAAGCTGTTGATCGACTTCTTGTCTGAAAAACAGATCATAACTCATTCACTCTGTTTCCTTCAAGCTTCTGTATACTACACTCTGGCCGGTTCAGAGTTCTTACTGTTGGCAGTCATGGCCTATGACAGATATGTGTCTATATGTAAACCTCTGCAGTATCCAACTGTCATGAGAAAAGCTGTTGTCAATACTTTGCTGGTTTTGTCTTGGCTTGTGCCTGCTTGTGAATTTGCAGTGCAAGATGCTTTCTATGCCAGTGTAAAACTCTGCAGTTTTACTTTGAAAGGAATTTTTTGTAACAGTTCAATTTACAGTCTTCAGTGTGTGCGATCAGTAGCAATATCTGTATATGGTGTCCTCCTGTTACTTAATATTGTACTGTTCCCTGTCCTTTTCATACTTTTTACATACACCAGGATACTTATCGTATCATACCAAAGTAGTAAAACATTCAGGAGAAAAGCTGCACAGACCTGTTTACCTCATCTGCTGGTTTTAATCAACTTTACCTGTTTTATTACTTATGATGTTGTTGTGGTTCGACTGGAGTCAGATATTCCAAAAAATGTTGGGTTAATATTGGCTTTACAAATGATTGTGTATCATCCTCTTTTTAATCCGATCATATATGGGCTAAAAATGAAAGAAATCTCTAAACACCTCAAGAGGTTGTTGTTTCAGTTCAAATCACACTAATGTACCCACACAGTTAGTCCATGTACAGTCATCACAATGCAGAGATGTGGTTTTCTTGATGCATTGAACAGATTTGTGTTTATGACTGAGAGAATGTATCATATCATATTACAGACAATCATTCATTTATATTAGCATCTTTGACTCTAGATGTGTTGATGAATTTCATAATGGTCATGATTTAAACATTTTATGCTGAAAATCTAAACACTGTAAAATGCATTAGTGGTAATATTTTTTCTTGGTCTAACAGCTTTAAACACAGCAGGACTGCAAATTCTTGTTTCTCCTGTTATTTATTACAGATTTTGATTTAGCACTTTGAGATTTTAACTAATTAAATGATTTTACTTGAAAATGCCATTTGTGATGTCTTGTGTTCTGTACATAGAATTTTTATACATTCACACACACTAAAAACATTTCAGCATAAACATATATTTCAAAAAGTGTAACCTAGCAGTTTGTCATGGTCTTCCATACACTACTATTAATGTACTCCAAGTCAGAGGAATTAATAATTTTATATCATATACACATACAGTAAATGTCTCTTTGATGAATGTATTGTTTCTTTTACTGTAGGTAAAAGAAATATAACTAGTAATCTGTAACCTATTACATTTCATAAGTAACCTTCTCAATACTGTATACAAAGTTTTTTTTGGTATTGCCTCACTATAATCAAAAACAAACAGCACAATACTTACAAAGAAAAATGACCAACCTACACATAAACCTGGACAGTTTGACAGTCAACAGCAAAATGTAACTTAGCCATGTGGCATATTACACATACATGTAGCTGTATGACCAAAATAAACATCATCACCACCAGTGCAGCCTTCTGAGGATCAGCTCCCTTTTTCACCACAACAGTCCCTTACAATGTTCATATCACTGTTGATGGTGCACCAGGCCACCTGTCAGTCTCATGACCCATTTTACACTCACTTGTGAAATGAGATACTTCAGTTCTTTCACATGGGGCAGCAACTCAGTCCAAACTAGAAGGTAGCAATCCACCGTTTTCCAGCAGAGTACCATGAACTCAGATTTGGAGAGGCTATAATTCATCCTAGCTGCTTCACAGCTGGCTGCAAAACGCCCGCCCAGTCGATAAACACATATAGGTGGACAAACTCCCATGACTCCTCCAGGAGGTTTGCAGGGAGTAAAGACTTAGTCCACTGTTCCACAGCCAAGATAGAATCCTCTTAAATCTCAGCTTTAGCAATTTGTTGGAGCCTTTCCTGAGGAGACTGAGCAGTGTGATATCCTGATAACTGGCAGACACCCTCCAGTCCCCCATTGCAAATATGGGGACCACTACCCCAGTATGACAGTCCACATGCACTGTCCCCATCATCTATGCATCACTGAAGAGACATGTCAGCCAAAACAATGTTTAAGGCCTTCAGAATCTGAGGGGAAATCCTTTTTTTTTAACAGCACGGCTATTTTCAGTGTTGAAATACTCTGTTACAAATAAAAGTCCTGCACTGAACCTTTTACCTATACGGAAGTAAAGTATTTGCAGCAAAATGTATTTAAGCTGTCAAAAATAAAATTACTTTTTATGCAGAATGGCTCATTTCAAAATATTTATTTTATTGAATTATAGTTTTTGATGCAGTAATGTGTAAACATCACTTTAATGTTGCAGCTTACAGAGGTTATGCACCGCAAACTTCTCTGTTCTGTGAAACAGGTTGCACTGCTTCTGACAAGTTTGCTGCTGCTGCCTGTCTCTCTCTACCTCTCCTCAGCTCCAGGCTTCCAGGAGTAACTCACAGCTGTTGAAAATCCGCTGATGACAAGCGCAACTGTAGAACATCTCCTGATTACAAGCACTGCTACTTAAGACCCTCCCAGTCAATGCCAGTTCATTGTGAATCTCTGACCACAAAGTTTGGCTCTCTCTAAATTATACTTATCACATAAGACCGATCCTTGTTCTTGTGCACCTTTATCAACTGTCTATCTCCTTGTTCTTAATCTGATGTCATCAAGGCCAGGAGTAGCATCCATAGATTTTTTTGACAATAAGATTCAGGGCATGTGCAAGGCAGACAGCATGCCTAACTTGCAGAATGTTTGCAGTAGCAATCATATTTGGTGCTGCATCAGTCACCAAGCATCTCACCTTGTTTTGTATTACCTATCCTTCCATTAGCTCCTGAACAATGCCGGCAATATTCTCTATTGTGTGACACTTTGGAAAAGGGCGTACCCTCAAAAGGGTGGTGGAGAGTGTACCCCCGCTATTAATGTACTCCAAGTCAGAGGAATTAATAATTTTATATCATATACACATACAGTAAATGTCTCTTTGATGAATCGGCACAGTGCTTCAGAAAAATATCATTCCAAGTTTGAAGCAAGCTTTGGAGCCTCAGTATCAGAGGGAACATCACTACCTAGCAGCAACTCACCTGACCGGCATGTCTCTGCCTGGACCTCTCATCTGCTGCGTCCTCAGCTCAAGCCCCAGCCACAGCCCTCCTGCTCTGCCTCAAGCTGACTCTCTTATCTCCATTCTGCCACAACTCCCTTCAGTACCCATTATCTGCTGTGAACATTTGGTAAAAAAAACCACTGTCCATAACCGGTTCTCTGTAGTTTGGTCCCAGCTTATTTCCTCTCCTGCCGTTAGGTGAGAGGGCGATCGTAACAGCTTCCAGTTCTGGTCTTCCAGTACGAGCCTGAATATGGTGAAGTGGAGAGGGTGAGTAGCTTCAAATACTTGGGCATCCACATCAGTGAGGACCTCACTTAGGCACTCAACACCACACAGCTGATCAAGAAGCCTCCTCAGGAAGTACAGCCGTCGTTGGGCCTTCTTGACCAGCTGTGTGGTGTTGAGTGTCCAAGTGAGGTCCTCACTGATGTGGACGCCCAGGTACTTGAAGCTGCTCACCCTCTTCACTTCGAGTTCCCGGATGAACAGTGGCCGATGAGATCTCCTCTCCTTCCTCATGTCCACTATCATCTCCTTTGTCTTGTCTGTGTTGAGGCTGAGATTACTGTCCTTGCACCATGACACCAGACCGGCCACCTCCCTTCTGTAGCTGCTTCATCCCCACCAGTGATGTGACCTATCACTGCGGTGTCGTCCACGAACTTTAGGATGATGTTGTCTTTGTGGGAGGTGACACAGTTGTGGGTGAACAGGGTGTAGAGGATGGGACTGAGGACACATCTCTGTAAGGTGCCAATGTTTGTGATGATGCTGGCTGAAGTCCTATTGCCAATCCTGAGTCTGGGGCCTGCCAGTCAGAAGGTCCAGCAGCCAGTCAGAGGGTGGGGTGCAGACTTAGTGTGGACAGTTTGTGGGGGACAACTGTGCTGAAGGCAGAGCTGTAGTCAATGAAGAGTATCCTGATGTAGGAGTCTATTTTCCAGGTGAGAAAGGGAATAGTGGAGGACAGCCGCGATTGTAGTGGTTAAAGTTGCCAGTGACGATGAAGACGGCATCAGGGTGAGCTGTCTCTAGCGTGCTGATGACTTCATGGTCCTCACATGGTCTGGACTCAGGCTGTTCCTCAGGGTTATGATGCTTTTCACAGCTGGAGAGTTTCTCAGCATTGAGTTGAGTGGAGAGCTGGAGATGGAGCTGATTTATAAGCTCCTCTAGCTCTCTCTGATAGAACGTGGCTTTACAATCAGCTTCTTTCTGCATTCTATTGATCTCAGTCCTTGAGGTGCTGAACAGCTTTAGATCATGCTTCACCCTCTCTGTATAAGCGAGCTTTAGTCTCTAGCTCACGCTGAAAGGCGTCTTTCTCCGCCTTCAGGGTGTCGATCAGCTGAAAATCTTGCTTAACCATGTCGGCGTGACATTTGTTTTCAGTCGCATGCTCACGCTGAAGGTTTTTGACCTGCTGCTTGAGTGTGAGGGCATCGGTTTCTTTGGCCCAACTCATGGTGTGAAGTGCTGAGCTTCTCCAGTTCTTCTTGGAAAGCCTTGTTCTTGTCCGTCTCTCCATTGAGGTTAGGGTTAAACCCCGTAAACTTCTCCTGGGTTATTGCATATGCCAATTTCAGATCCTCGTAATCTTTCTGAAAATCTTTTTTCTCCTTTCTCTTGATATTATTGCTCACTTGAATGGCAGTGTTTGAGGCACTGAGACCTTCTCCATTACTGTACTGCCTCAGCCTCTCGAGCTCCTTTCTAGTTTCTTTTTCCTTGTTGATATAGGATTCAGTCTTAGATTTCTGGTAAGCCAGCTGTTGTTTTGTCTCATTCAGCTTCTGG